TGCGAAGCAACACCAGAGACAATTTGAGAAAATCATTGTCTTTGTGTGTAATATTAAGATCTTAATGGTGTTGAAAATTATCCGGCAATATATTGAACTCAGATGAGACATGAAATCTTCAAGAGTGATATTGGGCTTAGGGATATGCAATCATGTAGAGAGAGCGCCACCTATTTCATTCTCTCAGGCATCTAGAGAATACTGCTAATGTTGGTGGTGGTTTTCCTGTTCATGCTGTGTCATTAACATGGGTTAATCATATAGAGAAAATATACATCAGCCCTCTGACTCAGAGGTTTTTATCTGTTGAGAGATATGGATGTGTAACTAAGTGCAATCGAAAAGGTTCAGTTAACTAAAATATACAGATGTGAGAAATAACAATGAAAATTCAATGTAGAAAAAAATCCACTTAAAATGCTTGTAAAACAAATTATAGTGGGATAGTTCATCATATTGGGGGAAAATGAACAAAAGGGGAAGGAGAATGAATATGGTAGAAGTCATGTAGGAACAAGTATGAAAAAACAATAATGAGGTTGTTGAATGTGTTTAAGAAAAAAGGAAGGTAGTCACAGAAAATGATGAAAGGGGTACAGGTTATACATGTACAGAAATATCACAACAGAACCTTATTATACAACCAGTACAGACTAATAAAAACTTCAATATGCTTGTTTCTGTAATAAAGATAATACAGAGAAAGAAGCATGAATAGTAAATTTCAATGGTTCAAGTAAACTCTTGAAAAACATATCATGACCCTCAAACCAAGTTCTGATATTTGTTCAAAAATTCCATTATGTATTATCCAGGTAGCACATTTTCTCTACTAAAACATTGAATAGTACAAAGTGAAATTACACCTGCAATCTAATACTACCACCTAGAGTTATACATGATAAAATTTTAGACTCTTTCTCCCTAGTATCAATCTACCTTTTTATTTTAGCAACCTAACACTGTATCTTATACCATGTTTTTTGACAGCATATGTATTAGGCACTTTAAGTTTACTATAAAAAACCTGAAAAGAGTTTAATAAATTTCTAATATTTTGTAAATTTAATTTTTATCACATGAAATTATGTTTCATATGCCAGTCTTCCCTCTTTTTATCTACAGGACATATGTCCCAAAGTCTGAGCAGATACCTGAAACTGTGGGCAGTACTTTAAGAAGTCATCTTCATAAATTTTCTACTTGTCTGAAAATGAGAATTTGGTATTGAAATGGTAGATGAGAGAGTGTGTTTTCTTAAAGGAATATTTTTTGATAAATAAGGAGTATTTGTCTGAGAACAGAAGATAATACACAAAGGCACACAGTACTGGCACATAACAGTGGATTTTAAATCTACAAGCATGCTCTCTTTCTACTTCACAAAGTTCAGGTAGGTGAGGAGGGATTTGGAGAGAGAAGGAACATACAGAAACCAAATCATAAATACACTTTTATATCGTGATCAGTAACTTATCTATTATCCTGAAGGCAATGGAAATTCAATGAATGTTTGCTGAATGTAATTGATTTACCCACTTAGGAAGCATTTGCTTCCTTAAGGAAATCAGACTAGTAATAGAATATGTAGCAAAGGCCCATGTGAATATTCTTTCTTCAGGAAGTGTACTTTATTATCATTGGAGAAATTAAAGAAAGCCTCATTAAATAATTAATTCTAGTTAGTTAATTAGTCAAAAATATAACTGCAAATGCTTTTATATGAAATACTTTAAACATGATTTTTGAAATCTGAGATGAATACTTGAGTTACAAACCGTTGGTAAAGTCCTTGAATAGGGGACTGGCTATTCAGATATTTCTACCTCCTGTTCTTTTGCATAAATCAAACCCACAATTCATATGACTATGACCCATTTTTCCATTTCTTTGAGATAGAGCAAAATGTGTTTAAAATGTAAAAAAGCATCTTAAATGCTGACTCTGTCACCAACATTACCTACAAAGTTTTATGCATTTTCCAACTTCATAATGTTTTAGTTGTGTGCATATGATCACATAAAATGACATTATCAAAATGAACTCCAAGAACTGGAAACAAGAGGGTTTGTTTTTGTTTTTGTTTTTTTCTTTGTTACTATTTTTGTTTTTGTCTTGTTTGTAAGTTTATCTGTTTGGGAGTAAGTCCAGAATGGTGGGGCAAAGGGTTAACTAATGCAGTTTTGATACTCACTAGACACTGTTAAAACTAAGCTATACAACTTGCAGGTGGGAATGTGCGGACAAAACTGGGAAAGAGAGAGAAGGGATGAGACCGTTTTTAAAAAGTAATGTATTCATTACCTGACTTATGTAACTGTAAATCCACTGTATATAACCTTTATAATAATAATAGAAGGAAATAGCAAACAAAATATTTAAATCTGAAAAATGTATACTGAGAATTAATTATATTTCCACAGAAATTTAGAACAATTGTTTTAGAATACCAAATCCAGCTCAGGTTTCATTATAAAAATAAAGTTTGCTCTTAGGTTCATTAATTGACTTAATATTTAATTAATGGATTTTTTTAATTAATTATATTTCCACAGAAATTTAGAACAATTGTTTTAGAATACCAAATCCAGCTCAGGTTTCATTATAAAAATAAAGTTTGTTCTTAGGTTCATTAATTGACTTAATATTTAATTAATGGATTTGTTAGTAATTACTGAAACTGGCTTAATCAGGTTTACTAGTTCAGACAACTCTTGGTATGAATCATAGAAATAGGAGAAGCAATTTGGAACTCCAAGTCCCCCCGCCCTCCCACCACATCATAGGCCAGTACTGGGCCTGGGTGCTGTCTCTTAGGATTTTTAATCAAAGGTGGCACTCAGCCACTTGAGTCACACCTCTGCTTTCAGCTTTTTGCTGGTTAGTTGGGGATAAGAACCATAAGGACTTTGTTGCTGGCTACAAACTCCAAACCTCAGAAGCTAGGACCATAGGCATGAACCACCAGTGCCTGGCTTTTCCATTATTCTCTACTCTAGAAAGGGAGAGCATTGGCAAGCCAAGCAAGACGTAGGTAGAGGGTTTTAAGAGGAACTATCAATAGAATTTGTCCTTTCTTGAAATTTCCAAAACTGTATATGAAAGTATAGGGCTGGGAAGATGGCTCAGTGGTAGAGTGCTTGCCTTGCATGCCTGAGGCCCTGGGTTCGATTCCTCAACACCACATAAGCAAAAAAGAAAAAAGCCGGAAGTGGCGCTGTGGCTCAAGTGGTAGAGAGCTAGCCTTGAGCTGAAGAGCTGAGGGACAGCGCCCAGGCCCAGAGTTCAGGCCCCACGACCAGACCCAAAAAAAAAAAAAAAGAAAGTATAATAAATTGGGAAACATCATACATTTTCTCAGAAAAATGAGGATGGCTATAATTAAAGCACATTATGAAAATGTCATTATGAAGACCCATTAAAATGTTCCCAAAATCTATTTCCAGGATATATGTGTGTGTCCAACATCTAAAAATTCGCATTACATTTTATTTCATTGTTGGAAAATTTGAGCCAATTCCACATGGCTTTAAAAATATAAATATTATTTTATTGACAATTACTTTAATCTTTATTTTATTGATACCTTGTATGAGTTTTCTCACATGTACTCTGGTCATTTAAACTTCTTATGTTGATATTTATAAACAAAACTTTTATGATTGAGTGACTTAATCTTATTTAAAGGAAAAATTATGTAATGATCCCCAGAGAGCTAATACAAAAATACTTTGAGACAATTAAGAAAAGCTATATAGCCAGTGACCTTGCCTTTTCTGACTCCTTATTTTAACTCCCTCATGTTTTGACTCCTAAAGATCGTTTTAACTAATCAGCCTTAATCGGGAAGCCAGACAAGTTTGGCCAACAGTGGGTACCACCAGATGTCTGGAAGACGAAAGGGCACAGAGACTAGCAAATTTGGATTCCTGTTCCAACCCTAAAACTTTAGCAATGTCCCGACCTTACTTAATTGTGTCTCCTCTGAGATTAGCCATAATGGGCTCCAGAAACATCAAGTTACTTCTCTTCTGCTGATTTAAGTTACTAATGGTTTCTGTAGGGGACCCTAATACCCTACAAAAACTTTTATATGTGGGGAGGCGGGGCTGGGGGGGGGGGGGGTTGGTCGTAGGACTTGAACTCTGGGCTTGGGCGCTGTCCCTGAGCTCTTCAGCTCAAGGCCAGTGCTCTACCGCTTGCGACACAGCGCCACTTCCGATTTTCTAGTGGTTTATTGGAGATAAGAGTCTCATGGACTTTCCTGCCTGGGCTGGCGTTGAACCATGATCCTCAGATCTCAGCCTCCTGAGTACCTAGGATTACCGGCGTGAGTCACCGGTACCCAGCCTACAAACACTTCTTTAAATAGCTCTTCAGCCAATATTCTATTTTCCACTAAGACCCATGATGTACAACTATCAATTATCAGTCTAAAACAGCCTTATTACAAGTTTGCTACTCAAAAATACTTCAAAGTTCTTAGGTTTGTTTGTTTTGCATACCTCGTTTAGGTTTATTTTAGTTCTGCCTGAAAACAAAGAGGGAATAAAAAGAAAACTAATTTTATATTATTTAATAAATATTTAGTATAATCCTATACTTTCACTCCACAATCCTACTACTACGACTGTGTCATTTGCTAATACTTAAGTGTCTGATGATGCATGTCAGGGATCATAACCATAAGGATCCAGGACAACCAAGGAGGACTGATAATGAGGAAAGCCAGCCAAGTTCAGTGAACTAGGACGAGCAGGATGGAGCAGGTGGAATAAGTCCACATTATAAATGCAACATTTCTAGGCTGTCAAAGGTAGTTACTGAAATGCAAAAGCCAGACCTCGAAACCATTGGTCCCTATATTTTCAGAGAAACCAAAATCCATAAACATATTACAATTTATTTGCAAATGCTCACTCATGATGTTGGCTTAATTTTATTTTTAATGATGTGGAATTTAAACCAGATGGACCTGCTGGTTTTTTTTCCTTTATATTTTTTAATGTACAACTCCTAGAAGCATCACAATATCAAGGCAATGCATTCAGTTGATGAACCAGGTTCGCATGTCCTAATATTTCTAAAAGTCATTTAGTAAGTTGTCCTCATAGAGGGGATACATTAGATGTTAAATTGATAAACATAAGAATCCACACTTTATCTTAGCCCAAAGGCTGAGAAGGGAAATCTACAATTTAGATCTTGCTCTCAGAGACCAGTTTTTATCTTTGATGGATATATAAGATGGTTATTGGCTGTATTACTTGAAATGGCAAATATTTAGACACAGAACAGTGACACTCATAAAGCAGGTTTTATTACACATATAAGCTAGTATGTTCCAATTAAAAGTACAATGTGGATCTGCATGAATGAACTGAAAAGGATATGCTATTTATATTTGTATTATCTTGCAATAACTTTCAAAATAATATAAAGACAATGGTGTAATATTTAAGAGTATTTATGCAGTGAAACTGTGTGAATAAAATCTTACCTGGATAAATACATCAGATCACTGATAGCCATTTATAAAACAGCAAGAATGAAAGTAATATAGATGTATTTATCTTTTTTTACTAATTTGCATTGAGTGTTAGCACATGTGTAATTTAAATAAAGATGAGATTTAATTAAAGGTTTCTGAAACCTTAATATTCACAAAACCACTTTACTAAACTACACCCTGACATGAGCTGCTCAATAATCAACAGATATGGGCTATTAACCTTTCTCCTATGTAATGTTCTCAGTTGGAGCTCATAACAACTTCTTTAATGTAACTACAATATTTCCCTATTGTGAAAAAGGTGCACAGAGGTTAAGTGATATGTCCAAAGTCACACAGTTAATAAGATTTGAAGCTAGTATTCAAACCCTTAGGTTACTCAAGAATCTGGATACTTAATTGCAACAACATCTTCTAATGCTCTCCATGAGATCACAATAGTTCAGAAATTTTGCAATATAAAATAAGTGAATCCTACATTCTTACTCATGAATTATGTAATTTCTTTTGAATTTCAAGAATTTTTTTTCTCAAGTTAAATACCATTTTTATAATGGGACAGTAAACAATCCACAAAGAATTTTCCCTATATTGTTGTATGTATGTTTTCTAACAAGGCCTAGGAATTTATAGATTTACCTCTGCTGAGGTTATCAGTCTCAAATTACCAGTTGTATATATAGGGGAGGAGGGAGATACTTAGGCCTTTAATTCTGCTAAATAGATTGAATTCACTCTAGAGATGTAGCAGATCCCAGTTAAAACAGGGAGTGGATAAAGTAATCTCACACCAGCTTACTGCTAAGGCTATGATGCTAACCTCATCCCTAAGTTCCAGAAACAGAATATTAGCTGCTTCCCAGACATCCCAAACAGAATTCTTTGGAAGCTGCATTCAAATTGTGTGATCTATTTCAGATATAGGATTAATCAACTCAGACCTGAATACTTCATGGGCTAGAGTCCATCTGCTTGATCTAGATTTCATCTCATGCTTCATAGTTCTGAAATATATATACATATATATATATATATATATATATATATATATGGGAAGTCCTTGGGTTGGGATGAAATTAATACTTGGGAATGTTTTAAGTACTTATTACAGTATCAGTCATGAATTTCATTCCAAGTATAGGTTAACTTAGCACAATATTCATAATAGTGAGTTGTCATCAGCATTACTAAAAGCAAGTCGGTGTTATACAGTAGAACTCCACTCTTCAAAAGCCAACCCCGCCTTCTGCATCTCTTATCTTAATCAATTGCTTACTTTTCTAAATTAAAAGACCTACAAGGGCTGGGTACCACTGTCTCACACTTGTAATCCTACCTACTCAGGAGGCTGAGATCTGAGGATTGAGTTTGAAGCCAACAGGGGCTTGAGACCCTTATTGCCAATAAACTACTCAGAAAAAGCCAGAAGTGGTGCTGTGGCTCAAGTGTTAGAGTGCTAGATGTGAGCATAAAGAGGCTTGGGGACAATGCCCAGGCCCTGAGTTCAATCCCTAGGACTGGCAAAAAAAAAAAAAAAAAAAGACCTAAAAGGTATCCTCTCAATCAATTCCTCTCTACTCTACACTGCTGTTTCTACCAATTAAAACAGCTCTTTCTCTTTTTTTTTTTTTTTTTTTTTTTTTGTCAATACACCAAGCTTAGAGAGTTGATTGGTGCTTTTAATCCTAGCTATTTGGGAGATTGAGAGCAAGAGGATCATGGTTTGAGGCCATTCGAGACAAACGTCTGTGAGACCCCACGTTAACCATATTGGTTTCAGTTGTATGTGCCTCCTGTCACCCCAGATACGCAGAAGACTGAGTCTGGAAGATTGATGTCACAGGCTACCTAGGCAAAAATATTCACAAGACTCAATTTCAGCAGAAAAACCCAGGCATGATGACATACACCTGTCATCACAGCTGCAACCATAAATGTAAATAGAAAGTTAAGAGAACCGCTGGTCCTATCTCAAAAATAATCAGAGCAATGAGGGCTGGAGGCGCGGCTCAAGTGGTAGAGTGCCTATCTATCAAGTACAAAGACCTAAATTCAAACTTCAAAGACCATTCAAGGAAAAAACATACTACCATTCACATTGGCCTGTCACCACAGAAAATTTTATTTTATCAAAAAATTCACATTTATATCTTTCAACTATTATCTCTCCAGCTTACTGTATTGATAATTACTATGTTCTTTATTTTAAAAAATCTTCTAGTTATGTTTAGGAAGATTCGTATAACATGCCATCAAATCCAGCAGAATTACTTACCATTCTCTATGTTCTTCCTACAAGTATCCATAACACACACAACCTATGCCTAAGGCTGGGTTACTGTCATACTAAATTGTGATACTTAAGTTTCTTGTTTGCATCTGTGAGAATCCATTAGAATTTAAGTCTTATTTTCTCATTGAATCTGAGGCACACCAGCCAACAACAATAAACCGAGACTGGAGAATGGACCAAGTCTCCATAGCTATTAATGTTTTAATATTCTTGTTAATCTCTATTTATGTTTTATTAGATTTCCTAATCACAAATGCCATGTGAACCTGGGCTTACAATAATAAGGTTTATATGAACACGGCTGTTCACGTTATATGAACAAGGCGTGCACATCCTGAAATCATGTCTCTCCATCCAAATTTTTCATTGCCATCAATTTATAGGCAAGACTTTCAAATATCTCAAAAGAAATGCCTCCTAATCTAACTTCCTGGCATTTGACAAAATTAAGTTACAGAATTTAACCAAAGGGGAAAATATTTCTAAATTGAATCTATTTATGATATACTGGTTTAAAATTCAAAACTGCCAACATATTCTGTTTACTCCCTTGGCATCTGTTGCATCTGCCAACTGGTGGCCAAAAATTAGAGCAGACTTAACTAATTAGAAGGGTCCCCATCTGGTAGCTGAACTTCTTGTTTATGCTGCTTTTATATTCTAAGTACAGAGATTCGAACCAGAACTTCTGTGGTTTACAGCAAGGGAGGTGCGCTCTGGCTAGCCTCATAGCTATTGTTCTGCTGAGCTGAATTTGGTCCAGATGGAAGTGTTCTCTATATTTTATGGCTTCCCTCCCTGGGTTTCCCTTGGGATGAGTCATCTTTGCCACAAGAGTTTCCATTGTCTCTCAAACCACTTTTTTTCATTCATTTTTATCTCTGTACACTTAGATCGAACACTACATACAATATATTAAGAATGTAAAAAAAAAAATAAAAGGAATTTGTGATTTAGTAAAATACTCCATACTACCTCTTCGAATCACAAAACTGAAGGAAAAGATAAAAAGAAAACATCCTAGTATCGTTTATTTCAACATGATTTTAATTAGTCACTGTGAGTGTAGTTTCACAATAACTCCAACCAACTCCTGCCAGTATCACAGATTTAGATGAAAACTTCTTGTTAAAAAAAAAAAAGAACTTCTGGCCCTGTGTGTGCTATGAATTGTGCGCCTCTCCACCAACAGACCTAACTTTGTTATACTTGTTTCCTCATATGCAAATTAGAGCAATATTTCAATACTGTTTCATGGAATCATAAAGACTGAATGAGAAATTATGTGTCAAGTGTTTAGCAGGAATACTCGGCATAGAAAAACTCAGCCAAGCAGAAAAGAATGAAAAGTATATTATTGACAGGAGAGACCTAAAATATGTTTACAGGATTATAGCACATGTTCTTTGCCAGGTATAACTTAACAAACATATAAAAATATGCATATTGATAACTACTATATAATATATAATGTTTCTTTTACATTGCACCAACTAGTTAATTGGAAGCTCAGCTACTACGTTTTATGATTTTGAGTTTCACTTAGAAACATTTCACTTTCCTATAAATACATCAGTCAATGTGGAAGAAAGATTTGGAACACAATGTGTGGCTAAAGAAAGCAAGAAGAGATAAATATATGATTAAGATAAACAGTCCATTCATTTTACCTTTTGTCTATTTTCTGCTGTTAATTTTTTCTCTAACCAGACAATAAGTTAAGAATAAGTTTGCAAAAGACTTACTTAAAAGACATTGAACTCCGCATCTATTCAATGCCAACTACAAACACTATGTTAAACCTGGCATACAATGATAGATGACATCTGATTTCTATCTCTTCTACATTCACAAGGTTTGGGAAAATTCAGATACATCACGAATAAATAGGTGTCTGTGGAATTAAGTTTGTGTTGCAGTACCTGGGGAAATGTTCTGGGTGAAATGACTCCTGAGATAAATTCTAACCATTGCATGAGAGAGTGGAGCTCTTTGTGATGGACTGAAGGCATTCTAGTTTGAAAGAGTAGTGAGCAGTCAGTTATGAAGTAGAGATGGCACAAAGGCTGACATGTTTTGAATGAAGTAGCTTATGATGGCAGGAACCTAACATGCGTATCAGGTAGGATAGAGGACCAAAGTAGGAAAGGAAGCAGATCATCCTGTATAGAAGTTCATAGCAATGAGCAAAGAGCTTTGGGAGGAAGAAGTTGACTATACTCACAAGTCCCTCAGAGGAAATCAGACAAAGGAAAGAACCAGTAGGGCTTCAGAAGATAGATAACAAGATCTAGAGAAGACCCCAGGCCATGGCCTTTATATTGAAGTTTTCCCACAAAAAAAAAAGTTGCAGAAAAGGGTAAACAAAGGAGGAGGCTGCAATG